GCTTTTATCTTTATTTTGAACATAACGCTAGTTGTTTTTTTGGTATAGTTTTTCATTCTCTCCTGTCTGCTGTGGTTGCTGGTTTGCTGCATCCACCTGATCAGTACATGCAATGTGTGGATTGGTCATGGTGCAGCCATCAAGAGTCAGTCAGAGTCAGAATCAGGGAAGACAGCGTTGCAATGCAGAGCAAAACACAATGATCCATGTATCACATTGATAGAGCTTTTGGCTAAGTCTGAATGTTCAAGAGTTATGGTGTTAAAACACTTGTGTTTGTAAGGTGTGTAAAGAAGTTATCAGAGGGGAAGAGTGGCCATTAGAGACACACCTGTAACCACCAGTGGCAAATGCAACCTATTGGTATAGTAGAAATAAAATAGGACGGTGAGAACATCAAATCAAAATCCTTAAATTGCTTTAAGACAACCGTACTTGTTATATCTGCTGTTAAAGCCATTGTTTGTCATATTTCCATGCATACATCTCTCATAACCTGCACACACTGTAAGTCAATGTAAGGCCTCTGAGCACAGTAGTGGAATAAGACAGGCAGCTTTCACTTTGTTGACTTTACACCATTGTGGTGAAGGCAGTTTGACATGCTCAGTGTGTCTGTGCTGATAGGAAATCAATTATTTACTCCATGTCTGTGATCTTGAAAAGCATAAGACAAATTCATTAACGCATGCAAATGAGTTTAATTGCAATTATCTCCATATCTCGATAAGCAAGGGGTGGGGGGGCTCCCAATCTCCCTCCATAGTGCTAGTTCCATTTCACCCTCAAACCAGTCAAGCCTCATCTGCATCTCACTAATTAGCCTGACGAATTCAAGAACCAATTAGCAACACTGCAAAGATGCAAGATGAGAATAAAAGTTTTCAGAGGGTATGACTTACAGTTGGCCTCATATGTACATACATATACTGTACTTGTACACGTGGAGACTGAAGACATGTCTGTATGTTAATGTCCGATTTTATACCTCACTTCAATGCCCATGAGTTACACTACAACACTAATGAATAAAGGCTGTGGTGTAGTCTTTCACCTAAATGCATAAAAATGCATATTGAATGAATTAAATTTGTACGATAAGCTTTTTTTTCTCTCCCATCAAGGACCTCACTGTATTGTTCATGGACAAATCTTGACTTTGTTTGCGGGTAAAGTTGAGCTGAAGTGCTGTTAGTGGTTAACGCTGCATTAATCAACAGGTTTTTATTAACAACAGACGAATGTGTAACGTGAAAGGTGTTACCCATAAGGGCAAACGCATTAAGAATTACTGCAGACTGCTGTTTGTCTCAGCTCTCAGGACATTTTAGCATTATGATTTACAACTTGCATTTTTACCGTTTTGATTCTCAGCAAATTCATTTTTTAAAAGCGCTGATGAACCCACTGTTCTGAGGAGCTGGTGGAGACCAAAAACAGAGCTAAAATGAGGGTCAGTATTGGACTTACATGCATCAGGTCAACACACAACTTAAATAGATTAGAATGTTCTGTGCTGACTGGTCCATTGCTCCAAATTAATGGAGCTGTTGCACAACTCCCGCTCAGACTACAAAATACTTTTTTTTTTTAAACCTAAATTAGAATTTGCTGTATACAGAATTTTGATATTATGTTGAAATTCCAGTTACTATTGGCCCTTGTCTGCACTGTATGTATTTTGTTTGAGGGTTTATCTATTTTCTGATATAGCCACAGATAATGATATGCCAGGCTTGTGTCTTTTGTTTTATCAAATCAAGCATTTTATTTCAAAGAACTGAACTGTTTGATAAAAATTTAAATGTGTAATGATGTAAAGTGGAATCTAGATCAGTGAACTTTACGCCAAGCTAGCATGAGATATGTGGAGAGACAGTTCACGTTCTTTTGTGATTCCTGGTTGACATGTTCATTAAAGGTTGGTTAACAAAATGAAAGAAGGGCTGCATGGGGGCTCGGGAGTTAGCACCGTCGCCTCACAGCTAGAAGATCCCTGGTTAGGACGCCTGGGATCTTTCTGTGTGGAGTTTGCATGTTCTCCCTGAACAGCGTTGGTTCTTCCCACAGTCCAAAAACATGCTGATAAATGTGCTTGGTTGGTCTGTCTGTCTGTGTAGACCTGTGATATATTGCTAACTTATCCAGGGTGTCTAGATGTGCATAGATAATGGATGGATGGAAATATAGAGTTTCAAGGTGCTGACAACTTTTACTGTTAGGTATTATAAAGTTTTGGCTGAAGAGCACAGAGCAGGAAAGACGTCTGACGACATCCATAATTAGGTTGAAAAGCGTTTAAATTGGAACCTTTTTTTGTGATAAAGGGTTATTAGTGAGTGCAGGAATAGGGGCTATTACTGCATTCGGTAGGTAGCTTCAGTCTACAACACAGATTATCGGAGTAAGAGAAAACTGGAGTGCTGCATACCACGAGAGGCAAGTGAGAAAGTAGGATTAGGGTGAATTAAACTCAATTTAACACAAAGCTAACAGTGCTGGTAGGAACGGCACTGTGGTACATTAAGTGCTTTTCTATTCATTATTTACTCCACAATACCTTCAGAGTGATCTGAAGCAACAGCCTGACAAACTTAAGACCAAACAAACAGCACTGAAGTCGATTCAGGGGAAACTTGGAGCGACTCAGGTTTACAGTAGAGTCATGAGTGAAAAACCAGAGGAATGTGTTCCCCCTCCGTCATTATGAAAGAGCACTTTGAAACACTACCATTAAAAGCCTCATTGTTACCGTGAATGTGAGGCTAATTGGACAAACCCTGTGAGAGGGAGCTGCTGAGTTCTTCAGGCCTGTTAATTTGAAGAGTCGCAGCTGGCTACTCATGTGTGCCTCAACCCGTCCTGCGTGCTTCACTTTCAGCCTTTAATTTTGCTCTGTAGAAAGCCACACAACAATATGGAAAAGGAGTGAGACATCCTAAAAATTAATGTGGAAGAGATGATCTTGTAGTTTCCATGCCAAATGCACATATAAAAAAAAAGGCTAATTCAAAGCACATTTCATGCCAAAAAGCAATCAGAGGAGAGAGCTTGGAAAGATCAGAGACCATGTTAAAAATGTCAAGCTACATGTTTTAATTTGAGGGGACAGAGAATAGAGGAAAACGAACATTTTTATGGTTGAGAACAATGCATGTATTCTGTCTTGTGCTTTTTTTTTTTTTTCGCCTTAGACAGCTATGGAGAGCACAAACTGCTGGCTGCACAGGCCCACAGGAAAAAGCTCCCTCCCTTTTAATTAGACCAGCTCACCAGATTAGGCCTCATTAGGCTGCAACACTGGAGTGCAGCTAAAGCCCATGTCGGCCTCCAGCGCATCCCACTTTAATTGCTTCTGTAATGGCCTAGGCTCAGGCCTTTGAAATCCCATTCCTGTGGGTAATCAGCCATGTTTGTCTGAGAACCACAAGCGTTTCTTACTTACCCCTTAGTCTGAAGCAGCTATCTCTAGCTCTTTGCCACATGCTTACTGTAGCTTTAGCCCAATCGTGCTCATCACAATCACACACTCATCACATGTGAGACACAGATGAATGGCTAAATTAGTCCTGAGAGGACTTATTTTCTTTCCATACAAAGTTTGGAGCAATAAAACTCAGACTCAGATTAAAATAAAACCAACACAGAAAACATGATTCAAACACTGTAACACACAACACATATTAGTGCATTAAAACACATCATCCCAGTCTTCCTTCATAACAGATCTGTTGAAAGAGTAAAAACTTGAACACTGCTGTAATAAACATTTAGAGTGTACAGTATGAGTCACTGGTGCTAAATCTCTTTTAGAATAATCTTTCCAAACACAATTACAATCAACGTATGAAGCCTGAATGTGTCCATGATGTCTGGAAGCAGCTGAAAGTACATCATGGTTAACAATAAAAGAAAGAGAGGGAAGGACAGCACTGATGTTCTTTGCCCTGTAGTAGCTGTGTTCCTACCAAAGACAGGAATGGTTGTTCAGTTTGTGTAGAAGCAGTTAGAACCAGAGCAGTTTAACTAAAGCAAAGTCCCAAAGTTAGTGTTGAACATGTTTCATATAAATGTTTTATATTGAAAAGAGCTGCTAGTAGCTGCTCACTGCGAAACTATAGTTTCTGTGCAGTGATGAAGTAACTGTAAATATAGATGCAGCTGGAAAGCTTAAAAATAAAAGTATGGTTTACGACAAGCTCTCTATTAGTCGTTATAACATTATACTCTCGCAGTTTATTGTCTAAACCACTTATTCAGAGGTAAAAGTGAAAGTAAGCAAACTCCTTATGTCTCAGATAAACCCTGATTGCACAGCCAAGGGCCTGAGTGAAGAACATCAGGTGAAAATCTAAACATTTTGCCTTCATTTTTGTTTTCAGCCTGTCTGATTGACTGCTCGTGTTTTCTGCCTTGCTGGACCAATTTTTAGCAACCCCATTACTAACTGCATTTTTCCTAACATTTGAGGAGTTTATCTCATCCACCATTTTGTTGTAGCTTGTCAACACTTGGTGCTAACCAGCACTCAAAGGAACTTTTGCAGGTATTTGTTAAAAAAAACAACAACAACAACTAAGTATAGAGTAGGGCTGAACAATGATTTGATTTTAATTCAAAACTGCAATTTGAAACTTGGCAATTAGCAAATCACAAGGGCTGCAATTCAGGATATATGAGCTGTAGCTTTTAAATAATGAGACTTATGATGTAATTCAATTTTGTTTAAATCAAGCAGAATTAAACTTGCAAGGGTTGGCTATTGCTACCCATTCAGGCTGCTAGCTGTGGTTCAATAGACATAAGCCCAGTCTTGTTATTTAATAGCTACAACTTGTACATTCTGCAGACCACAAATGCGGACTGCTAAAGCTTATAGGGAATCCAAATGTTTTGGATTGTTGGGTGTTTCTGTTTCTGCCTTTGTGAAGCGCTATGAGATGACTTGCTGTTGTAAATATGCGCTATACAAATAAAATTGAATTGAATTGAATTGAATATGAAACTGTTCTTTCAATGGTTTTAGAAATTCATGCCATCCTTATTGTGACAGTCACACATTTGATGATGACTCAAGTGGTAATGCTCCATCATATGTTTTCAATCTATGACAGTGAGTATTAAACTGAAGCTTGACTTTAGAAAATTCTATGGCAAATTGAATCCCAATATGTTATTTTCTGCAAATTCTTCAATGAGTAAAGAGGAACCTAAAGTCAACATACTTCATCCTCTGAGGATATGAATGTTTCAACCAAATTCAATCCATCCAGTGCTTGTTCTACTGATGCAGTGTGTGCTGTAGAAATGGACACAATCATGAATTTATCAAGACAAAACAAATACAGAGGAAGTGTTGAGCTTATCTGGAGAACTGGGGTAATTAAAAATAAAGGGCTGTCTTTGATAAAGGCATGGTTGTCTCTGCCACAGAGGTAAATAAGTGTCCGGCCACTTTTGGAGAATGTAGTATATAGTTCATAAAGCAGGAAAAAAAAAGTGTGTTCCTTCATGTTGTCAGATTTCGTGTGGAGAATTCAATCCTCATCCGTCTGTGATAGAAAACACTACCACCACAAGGCAGCTATCACTTCCCCTTTCCCACTAACAAACATGTTTGAATATTTCACAGAGAATTACACAGAGTAATAATCTTTAAGTATCCATACAGATTTGATCTTGTTCAGTTGTCTCATAGTGTGGAAGGAAACTCTTAGGAGCTAAAATCAACAAAAGAACTCCATACAATTTTTACTCAAACCAAAAAACAGTCAAAGCAAATGTGGAGTCTGTGTGTTTTTTGAAACACAGCTCATGTCCCGGAGGAGTCACCTTGCTTTTGGTGTTCCCTCCTCATTCAAGGTCCACTGTGAGTAGCTGGCTGGGTGAAGACAACAGATCATTCCAATGGAGTCGCATAAATGAGATAATTCCATGACAGTGTTCCTTGTTCAGCCACACCAATCCTGATCTGTAATATTGCCACAGTTCACAAGAGATAGCAGTCTACTGTATGAATTGATTCAAACAGTCTCAGCATCCTCATCCCTCCAACAGAGCACTGGACTTGTCCAAATTTTACTCCTCAAAGTCCTGTCAAAGAGCCAGTTTCAGTTGGGAAGATAAAATCTAAACCAGTAGCAGGAGTGAATGTATCCACACTGTGGAGTGACAGTCCATCAGAATAGAGGAAGGTCAACCAATGGCAGGACTTACAGCTAGGGGAGGAAGGTGAGGATGAGACAGGAGAAAAGTGGGGGAGAAGGCACACATTTGGTTTTCCATCTGCTTCCTCAGCAGACCTGTAAACAAAGAAGAGAGCTGGTTAGGAAATAAGACACGTTGACATTCTGAAACATCGACATTAAATTACACAAATTCCAACTGTACTGTCTTGGGCAGATATCTGCCACATTTTAGAGAATTACTTAGAATGATTACTTTTTTCATGGAAGACATTTTGACATGTTTTAATAGTACATGTTCAAGTGTGAATGATGGGCTAATGATGGCTGAATTCCATGTAGCTGCATCAGTTTCAGGGCACTGCTATTGTTCATGCTGGCTCACTGTGACACTGTTATAGTTTTGGTGGCCACTTGAGTAGAACAGAGCCATTGCTAATGGTATTAGTAACACCTGAGCTTTTCTTTGTGTGACAAGTCAAGACGCCGGCTGTGAAAAAGGCCTCATATACCTTTCTACAGCTTGTTTCAAATTACAACAGCAAATGAGTGTTTTCTATGTCATGGCGCTGTGAAATCTTGGTAACCAGAGACAATATGTATTCTATTTTCTAACGTTTCTGGTTCAGAGACATGAATTAGAACTCTCCACATGGGTGAGAGCGGAGCGATCAAGTTTTTATGGATAATCTGTCTGTAGGTATGAAGCTTTTACTACAACAGGGCAATATACCTAAAAAATCTATCACAATAAACAACTTGTGCCACGTTGAAAGTGATATAAAAGTATTAGTAGGTCAGACCTAGGAACATTGCTGGTGCAGTTGTTACAGAAGCATGACCGAGGTGTGCATTCAGACATGACGCTGACATATTAAACTGCCATCACAATAACAGAAAGGAGTGCAGGGGCTTAAGTCAAAGTTTGAGTCAGTCAGTCACTCGCTCATAGATGAACATGGAGTCAGAGTGAAAGAGTCAGAATCACAGAGTAATACAGTCACAGTCATATGCAGAGTAACGGAGTCCCTAGTCACAGAGACAGTCAGTGTCACAAAGTTAGAGACAGTAACACAGGAACAGAGTCAGAGTAAAGTCTCTAATCCAAACATCATCTCTGACATGGTATGTTGATTATACATTCATCTTCCTTATTTCCTCCATTAATAAAGAGAACAACGATACATTAATTTGGTGAGGGAAACACTATGGCCTTGTTTTTCTTTTTGTGTTTAGTATAAAAGGAGGATAAGAAAGGGTGTATCAGCATAAAATGGCCTCTCACCTTCTGGTCAGGCATAATGTTGTTGGCCTGCAGTGGAGCAGAATGTCCACTGAGCAGGCCTCCTCCTGGCCGGTCATGTTCACAGAAGATAGTCCCATTGATGTAGTGGAAGCGATCACCTGGGACGAGGCGGTTCCTACAGGTCGCACAGGTGAAACACTGGAGGAAAAAGTAATTTGTTATTTTAGATTTTCAGCCAAGATCAAAATGAGCACACTAATAGCACCATAATGATGAAGGAACGTCAATGTCAGAGTGCCATGATTACATTCTCACCTTAAGGTGGTAAACACTGCCTTGAGCACGCATCACCATCTCACTGGCAGGTATGGACTGTCCACAAGCACTGCAGGCTCCACTGTGTCCAAACAGTCTGCAGATAAAACCATGGCACAAGTCTGTCACTTCAACTGTTTTACAACCACAACATCAGCATTAACATAACATAGAATCGTATCTTGGATACCCTGAGTTGTAAAATTCTGTCTGTGAAGCATATACTTCTGTGCACTTTTCTGGCATCTGATAAGCCCTTAAACTCTTGGATCTGTTATTATAACCAGGCTCCCTGGATATTTCCCGGGTACCTAAAATAACAAGCCAACCTTTGCACAGAGCCTTGTGTCGTTCTAACATAGTGCTGTTTCCAGTCTGAACATGTCATTCTCTGCCTTAAGTGTACGCGCAAGAGTGAAATAGATAAACTGATACTACTTCAGCATAAACAAAAACTTCATGTCTGTATGATCAGTCTGTTACCTTCACTGCTGTCTGTCGGGGTTTATATTTAATGCCACTACCATCCCAGGCATGATGATTTGTTGAGTGGCACCTTGAGACCACCATTATTTACTTGGCCCTTGAGATTTGTATCTAAGTGCAAGTCTGACCATTTTGGCAAAAAACAAAAAACAAAAAAACCCTCTATATTTAACTCTAATTTGATTTGTTATGCATTTCTGGTTGCTTTAAAAACAACATACTGTATCTACAGTACATACAGTTTGTAAAACAGCACAACTCTGTATTAAGAGCCCCAATTAAAGAGCTTTACCAAATGCTAATACAAAGTCCAAACAGAAGGCGTCAGCTTTGGTTTCTTTGAACACGGCGGCACACAGCAGCAGTCAGTCCTTATCTGTCTAATACTGATAGAATGTCAGCACCTGAACTGCAGCAGGTTGAACTTTTAGTAGAAAGCCACTGTCATCATTACAACGTCTTGTGAATCCCTGTGACACTTACTTGACCAGTCTGGCTTCTCTCTCTGTCCTATTCTCTCTCTTTCAATGACTGCACAGAGAGAGTAATGATTTTTTTTTTTTTTATCTTAATCCAAACAGTCATTTAATGAGAGCGCCTGAGAGGATCGCTATCCTCCTTAATTAACCCACACTCACACACAAACTCCTCCCCAGTCTCAGTTACAACTCATCCTGCTTTAGCGATACGAAGGATGAGAATCAGGGGACCCAACCTCTAACCAGGGCTTAGGTAAGCACTCCTTAGTCCACCTCAGCTCATTGCGGAGACATGGGTTTCCTGTCTGTGCAGAATGTGACAGATCCTACACAGCCATAGAGAAGGGTCCTTTAACATGAGCAACACACACACTGGACACTAGTCAACCAAACAAAATCCAAACATGTAATCTGTTTTCATCATGTTCGAGGTTGTGCCTGTGGCTGTGAGAGCAGTGCACAGGCAGCAGAGGTTTTTCCACCAGCTAGTCAGTCCACCAAAATTCGACTGTAGGCCCTTATACAAAGTTGTGAGCTCTTTATTCACGTCCCTGCCACAGAACGGAACAAATGACTGCCAAATGAGAAACCTTAGGCTGCTGTAATTCTTAAGTGAAGTGGACATTGGAAGTTCAGAATGTACCAATTTGGAGCACATTTAATTTAAATCAGAGGTTTGTTCAGCTGGTTTCAGGCTGAATAAGGAAACAAATAGAAGACCTCTTTGTGGGCTTAACGCAAGTTTGAACCAGTGTATCAGCAAACACTAACACATGAGAGTCACTTTTTTTCTTTAATGATTAATGTATTAAAAGATATAGATTGAAGCTGTATTAGAAATTGTTTTCTGTGTTGTTCCCATGAGTATGCTTTACGAAGGTACACAGGAAACATGGTACAGAAAGTCCACTGAACAGCTCTGACAAAAGTGAAAATGTAGCTCCTGAGGAACACATGTTAAAAATGCGCCCCTTCTCAAACTCTTCCAGTGAACTTTTAAACTGCGATGGACGGGAGACTTAAGATTGCGGAGTGGAGCATCAGCTAAACACTGGCACACTGCCTAGATGGGCAGCAGGTCGTCACTCTAAAAGCAGTAACAGGAGCTGGATGCAGTCACATCCAGACCACACAGGGGCCAACCACTCATTGGGTGAGAACATGTGCTGTTTTCTGTTTGAGGGAGCTTCATCTAAGAGCTAGTCACAAGGATGTAGGGACCTAAATCATTCAACTTCTAATTTGAAATTACACCAATGTAATGCCATTACTATTAATCTGGGGAATTCTGATATGCACCTGAATAAACACCTGTATTGCTGACGCAGTTTATTGGTGGACTAAATGTGGAATTTCTTTAATACACACCGGCCTCTCATGACTATACAGTGTATCTCATTGCAGATCGTGGTGTAATTTGAGTGTACAGTAAGAGCTTTATTTATTTTATGAGAGAAGTCCTAAAAGCCACTGTATTATTACTGGCCTGATACACAAAGTCTGCTGTGTCTCAGCTCCTCCTCAGCAGGCCTTGAGCTGTGGCTTTCCACTTCCAGCCCTCTGTTTGCCCTCAGAGATGTGGGCATCCACGAAATCTCCATCTGTTTTACACCATTCCGCCTCACACACTTCCAATGACACACTGACGCTAGCTCACGCACACATATGTTTGTGTTCTATAGCCTTTTTAACACAACTATCATCGTTTGCTTTCATACATGAGCCCCTCTTCCTCTGATTAATTAATTTTTGGTTCTATCTCTGCTCAGTTTGTTCTTGTCAGACTGACAAAAGTGAATTTCACCAGGCCAAATAAATCACAAATGACAAATGCTACCAGACTAAACATAACTTGTGCATTTGCAATGTACAGTATGAGTAGATTTAATAGGAACAGGCAGAATAATTACATCCTGCAAGGATGCTTTGATGTGGAAATGTGGTAATGACTTAAGGCTAAACAGTTTTTTTATGTTTTGAGAGTGAGGGTGTATAAAGGTTTTTCTAGAATACTGATTGCCTGAGTTACTACCGTACAGCTTGGTGCCTGTTGTGCTTAAGCTGTAGCGATCCCTCCCTTAGGCCTTATATTTGAGCAGTTCCTGTTTACAATTTACCTCGTGCAAATTAAGGTGCCGGCAGTTTTCATTTTGCTCTGTCTGTTGCATATTAGGCATTTTCACAAAATTGAAGCATACCTTACTTTAGAGTTAAACAGGTAGCAACCCTGCCTGCAGAACAAGTCTAAACTGAGAGTCCCATTTCTGTGGTAACAATCAGTGACAAATGCCAGTCAGTGTCATCACAAAGAAAAGGAGTAAAACATGGTTTGTAATTTGTGGTTTGCTAACAATCTTATGGAGTGAGTAAACAGAAAGAAAAGCGTTTCCAATGAAGATTTAAACACTGATTTCTCAAAAACTTGATTTTATGTTAGTGGACATTTTGTGTACTGTGGCACAGTCTTGAAGAAAAAAGGCCAAACCATCTGGCCAGTCCATCAGCGGGGCTCACCTGATGTAGTCGTTCTTGCAGAGGATCATGCCACCTTTACTGTAGCAGGTGCTGCTGTACTCGCCCAGCTGAGCGTGGCAGCAGGAGCACTTGAGGCACCGTGTGTGCCAGTATCGCTCCATGGAGAAGAGCAGGAAGCGGTCTGAGATTCGACCTCCACATCCTGCACATGACCTGCCCGCTGTCCCTCCGCCGCTGCCCATCACTGCCACTGTGGGCGCCTCCACCCTGCTGTTCACCATAGCAACCTGAAGACAGGGCAAAAGGCAAAGCAAAAGGGAGCACTGGTCACTAACAAATGATTGAGGAGGGACAGTGACAAAAAAAAAGATTCAGCATGTACATGTTTGTATTTAATGTATTTTTTAAAATTATTTGATTTATTTCCGACATGCCACATTATCATACAGGCAAAAGAGACAAAAAAACATAAAAAATGAAAAACAAAGCAAACAAACTAAATCCAGAATCTAAAACTAAGGTTAGAAAAAGAGTAGGATGAAGTTCAACTTATTAGCTTTTCACTATATGCCTGTACCTCTCATATCGTACCGTTTCCTGTTTGTACTAAACCCTATACTTCTTGAAACTGCAACAACACATTTACTGTTGCACATTATATTATTCAAGCAGTCTTTTTAATGTGTGTTTTCCTAAAATGTTTTATACTCATTTTGAGATTGTTGTCCAGACTGTTCCATAAGTTTACACAAACTGATAAACATCTACTCTTCATGGTGGTACGAGCAAATAGTTTTTTCAAATTAAAATTTCCTCTTCATTCATTGTTTTCAATGTTGCTTGTGAGCAGCTGTTGTATGTTATCAGAGAGCAACTTGTTGCTCACTTTGAACACTATTTGCACAGTCCTAAATCTAATTTAATCAATAAATTCCAAAGTAGTTGTTTTGTAAAACTACATATTAGTATGCTCATTATATCCTACATTAAGTGCTATCTTAATAGCCTTTTTTTTTTAATTAAATGTTGACAGACAAGCCGAAGCCGTAACAAAGTCTCCATTAGAAAGTTCACAACCTAAAAAGAAAAAACTAATTTATGGGATCCTCAGCAAAAAACGTTTGTTTAACTATCAGTTGATAAAAACTAAAAAAAACAACAATAACAACAACAAAAAAAAAGTATTCATCTTAAAAATAGCAATGCAAATATTTTCAAAATAATTTGGGCCAATTTGTGATGCCAATACGTGTGCATTTTTGCTCCACCTAAAATACAACACTTTTAATCACAACCAATCACTGGGCAAGATAAAAAAAAAACTACTTCAACTTACATGAAAACCAGTCACATTTATTTATTTTTTTTGACAAAATTCTCCATTTTTGGTCTGACAAGTGTAATCTGCCTGTTCTAAAGCCTTTATTTTCCAATAATACTGGAGCTGATACCATCAAGCATCGCGGCTATATGCTGTAAATAATATTATTGCTCACCTGATACTGTATTTATTTCTTTATTCCTTAACCTAGTAAAACCTGCCAAGTCATCTGTCTTGGTTTGACTAAATTAGGGTCAATTGTTGTTATTGGCATAAAGTGATGTAAACTCAAAATCCATTATTCTTTTATTAATTTATGAAGGATTTATTTTTTTTAGGGCTATAACGCAAATGATCTTCAGTTCAGTGACAGCAGCAGTCTGTTAACTTTAACAAAGCCAGTCTTCATTCAGAATTAATTGAAACACTGAGCGGAGAGACACCTCTGCTCTCTGCTCCAGTGCTCTTGCTCGTGAAGTTGGCTAAACTAGTCTTAAAGCAGACTTTGCACAACCTTTTTTTGCACAGCCATCCAGCTGTCAAGAGAGACAGTTCGTGATGGATTAGGATTTTCATATTTGTGACTGGGTGAAAAACTAATCTTTTCACATCAGTTTCATTTCATTTAATGCCAAGATCATACCTCAGTGCATTGGCCTTAGGTGGACTCTGAATATCCTGATGTGGAGCAGCCCAATACACTTAATTATCGTTTATGCTATGAAAACTTAAAAAAAAAAAAAAAGTAAAGTTTTTATCATAAATTCCCAGAATACAAGCTTATTTTTTCTCCAGTTGTGTTTTTTTTCTGAACAGCAGATATTCAGTTTACAGCAACATAAAATAGAACAAAGCAGCAAGTCTTGTCACTTGAAAAGCTGGGATCACACGTTTTCCTCGATGCATATCTTAAATGAGTTCTCTACCCTACCCACTACCTTAAATGTCCAAGGTAGTAGTCATGATGGGTAAATCCAAGACTCTGACTGTGCCGTTTGTCAGTGTGGCAACACCCACATGAAAAAGCTCCTTTCAGGGAACACTTTAGAAGGAAGCTTAAGCCAACGTCTTATCCTCACTAAATCCTTTGCATGCTGTACATTGACTGAGAACGTAAAGAGAAGAACATGAGACGGGAACACGGCCTCGTCTTCCCAAATGTGGCTCTTGGCACCAGATCCAATCAATTGGTTTTGGAACTTCCTGGTAAAAAGCTTAGGGCTATTTGCTTGTGGGGGTACTGGAATGTGAAACCCCAACAGGAAAACACACACACACATACACCAGCATGCTCACAGGACAGAGATGCTGTTTTACACCGAACAAGTTCAAATTGGAGTCCAGCTCAAAAAAAGAAAAAGGAAAAACCACACACAGTCTTCTGGGTTTACAAATAACTCTCATTTTAACTTGATAATATTTCCCATGAGAAGGGTCTTTGAGTCTGTGCAGCATTTGGTCCAACAACTGTTCTGACTGGATGCAAAGGCCAACATTTTCTGGAAATGTCGTTTATTTTATTCAGCTGTTCATTTCTTCAGCACTTCTTTCAAACATAATAGAAACAAAACTCCTGCAGAACAGTTGAAACATGTAAAAGATGGAAAGTGAAGCTGCTGCAGCTATTGTTGGAAACAATGCTACACATGTACCATCAAGCAACATTTACTGTATTCCTCCTGCTCTCATTTTTCCATTACAAAACTCAACTGATTTCATGCACAGCTGGGAATAATATTGCTTTTGAGTACAGCCATAGCAGTGTGTGCTACTCAGCAATGAGTCAGCAACACTGCCTTTTCAGCCGCTTCCATGATTTATAATTAGCGCCAACAACAACATAAAATAATTGCAGGGCTAGATTTCATTTTCCAAATGAGCAACAGCAGCACAATTTGTCCTCTAGAGCGTCTAATTTCAGCAAGGGCATGTTTAGCTTTACGACTAGCCTTCCCACAAGATTATTTGAGATTGCAGCAGCTGGTCCTCTGCAGTGAAACAGGCTGCCCTCAATACCCTCATTTTCTAGAGTAGACACCTGGCTCTAATCAGCCACAGGAACACCATGTTAAGAAGCCCAAGGCTACATTAAAACCACAAACAGCCTCATGCAGTGGGACCAAACCTTATTAGTGATGGTTCATTCATGAATGAGCTGATCCTTTGAATGAAAAATGAACCTATTTATTTAATCCACAATTGAAACTCTTAAAATTAAATGTGTGAATCCATGTCAATTCTGTTGTTCATAATACCGTTAGACATTTGTTTTTAACATGCTGTAAATAGTGCGATTGTATTAATGATAGCACAAACCAAAGACAATACATGAAACACAGTAAAGCACAAATGGGATGCTTATATTCACACAAGCATAACTTTACGAATCTAAGTTGTAATCATCAGAATTTGTGTCTGAAGCACTGACTAACAGATCTTACAGTAAGATGTGTGCATTCAGGGGTATCTTTGTTTTGGCATCTCAGCCACTTTCAGTAATTTCTGAACCAACAGAGTCACCTTAGTGCAACATTTGATTTGTCTTTGTCCTTTGACCTGCAGTAATGGAAGACACAACAACCATAAAATGTACCCTCTACATTACAGGTTTGCTTTGAGTCAGTGTGTAAATAATCATCACCATACTTCCAACTAACTCCTAACTAACTCATACTAGGGAAACACCTGTCCACATGACAGACAGTGGTAAGAAACCTTGATAAAATGTTTACATGCTGCAGATTCCTAGTTTTCATCCACATATTCCACCTTGCACTTTGGGGTTTTTCAAAACAAAGATAGCCAGGACACGATGTTCACATGCACACAGCCTGCTCATAATCAAATGTAAACACACTCCATGTCCATTGAAATCAATCTGGTAATTTTATGAGTAGATGGAAGGACAATGTAAAAAGCTGGATTGTGGGCCACAAGGTACAGTAGGGATTCACGAAAAAAAATAAAAAGGGCAGCTGAAAGTTGATAGTTAGACTAATCTAACCAACAACTGTTTCATCTCAATTTGCTTCAAGCTAGAACACAAGTTGATTCAGTCTCAAAGCATGTTTTCGTCTCTCAGTGTCAAATTTATTCTGTTTTTTTCTTGCTCTTGTCCAAATTGTAGCATATTGTCTTCATAAACTGCTTCATCGTGTAGCATAAATATTTCCAGCAATAAACTAACCGAATAAATACTGATGCAGATAGCAGCTGTATCTAGTAGATAATGTCCAGATGTCTCTAATCAAAATTAAAAACAGTTTTTTATCAGGGTCACTATGAAAGTCTCTGGACTGGTCAAGGTCTAGTTATGATAACAAACTAGGGTTGATGCATTTTCATGGTCATGTTGTGTATACGTGTATAAGTTGTGTGCAGTAGTTTACTTTTAAAACAAGAGATCACTTCTGTCAGAACAATATTCCCTGAATTTGGTATTGCAATTGGTATCTGCAGAATAACATTTGGATCCATGTTTCTTGGATGGATTAAGCTAAATAAGAACACAGCTTGGTGTATCAGTGATGGACAGCGAGAATGTCACTTACACTATCTTGCTTACATTACCAAACTACTGTGAAATATATACGGCAAAATACTGCAGGATGAACCCTGTGTTCATCTAAACAGTTGTGGTTCTGTGTGTCAGGCCATGAAGGTGTTTTTAAAGGAAACAACTGTGACAGGAGCCCTTTTTTGGGGGGGACTAAAGCCTTTAGGAGGGCAGCTCAGACACCAGCGGATGGCCAGGGTCAACAATCCAACCACAGAGAGACCATCACACCAGATATAAATCTTCCTAATCCTAAAGTTCAGATTGACATAGAGGAATGATGATACATTCACTACTGCCAACATCTGTCTTGAGTTTTTCTGTTTCTTACCAACAAGTATGACTTGTAAAACATAAACAATGCTTCAGTATTGGTGTTAGTATCACCTGCATGTATCACCTGGTATTCT